TCCCACTTGATCATGATGCATTATCTTTTTTGATATGTTGTTGGAGTCTATTGGCCAAGTCCTGGGCACGTCCTGGAGCTGCCTGGAGCTGTCACATTTGCACCCCCAGAGTTCTCTGTCTTTTTTTTCCTTTTCTCTTTCTTTTCCCCTCCTATTTAGTTGGCTGCCGTATGTATCCCTGGTTTGGGTTTGCCCCCTGACCCCTGTCATAATTGCTGGACCTTACCCCAGGGATGTATGTATTTAGTAGCTTTCCCCCTATGCGCCGCCCCCGTCCCCCCCTCCCCACCTTTTCTTTTAAGCTCACCTCAGTGGACTCATGTTGTACTTGGCCTTTGTGCTCGGATTGCTTCACTTAGCATGATTTCCTCCTGTTCTTCTCATGTGGCAATGTGCTTCATCGTTCATCGCTGCATTTCAGGGATGCATGATACTCCATTGTATGTATATACCACAGTTTTTTGATCCATTCGTTTATTGATGGAAATTTGGGTTGTTTCCAACTCCATGCAATTATGAACTGTGCTGTGATGTACATTGGAGCACAGATGTCTGGCTGTGGTTTGTTTCTTGCCCCCTCTGGGTATATGCCCAGTAGGGGGATTGCTGGATCGAATGGTAGCTCAATCTCCGTCTGTTTTTGATATTGCCAAATCGATTTCCATAGTGGCTGTACATACCTACAGGTCCACCAGCAGTAGACGACAGCCCCTCCAACACTTGTTACTTTCTGACTTTTTGAATTGGGTTATCTTTGAGGGTGTTAGGTGGTATCTCATAGTTGTTTTAATTTGCATTTTTCTTATGTAATGATCGGGAACATTTTCTCATGTTTATTGGCCATTCAGATTTCTGCCCCTGTGAAACTTCTGTTCAGGTCCTTTGCCCACCTCCTTAGTGGGTAGTTAGTTTTTTTCTTATTGTAAGCTTGCAAAGTATTGTAGATTTTAGTAATAAGGCCTTTGTCTGATGTGTCATTGCCAAAGATGTTTTTCCAGTCTGTGGGCTCTCTTATTACCCTCTTGGCGAATTCTTTCGATAAATCACACAGGTGATTTATCTTCAGTATGTCCCACTTATCAATTTTTGACTCCTCTGTATTTGTATCCTTCCCTATTTCGAATAGCCTATGTATTCCCTGTACCATGGTTCTAAGGTTTGTCTCAATTCCCTCATTAATGGCCCTAATAGTTTGGGGTTTTACCTCAAGGTCTGTGATCCACCTTGGGTTTGTGTTAGACAGGGTTCTCTAGAGAGATAAAATCAAATTCCTGATAATATAATATATTTATTTATAAAGATAATTAATATATAACGAAAAATGAAATGTTAAATCATGAAGATAGATATATAACGAGAAATGAAATGTTAAATCATATACAGATAAATATACAATACAAGAAATAAACAGTTAAATTAGAAGCACTATAAATGGCTTAGTTCAACTCACGTCCGTGAGAGAAAGTTGAGAGACTAGCAGTCCTTTAAGTCTCT